AGCTTCTTGTTTGATGGTAAACACAGCATAGCTCTTCTTAAAAGTCCGTCACTCTAATTTTTCAAAAGTTTGTGTTAACAGGAAATTGTTGTATTTCAAAAAGTTTTATAGCAATCGTAGCCAAATTTGGAATAGTTATTTATCCTTTGATTATAGAAAAGGCTGCCAAGATTGGCATGAATCTATGCACGTTTGATTATCTTATGGGGTTTTCAACTGCCGCAATATATGGCATTCAAGTTTAAAGATTTTTCTTTCTTTAAATTATTTAATAAATCATCTAAAAAAAATCTAGGACATGCAAGATGTGTTCCTTGACATTTGCGATTTTTTTCGGGATTTTATTGCAAACTATGGATTTTTAATGATTTTTTTTGTTTTGAGTAGGGTGTAATACCGCTAACCGTGGATTTTGGCGGTGCTGTTTCTTCATCTTTTAAACATATACTTTTGACCCACCACCTGAGATGGCCGCAGCATCTATCTCACAGATGAGATTCATCCCAGATATTATATTTTATCCCTAGTTTAAGCCTTCCTGACCAAAGCTGTGGTTGTCTCAGCAGGCCCAGAGGTAAAGCGTGGAACCCATTTTGCTGGGTTGGGAGGAGCGAGAAGGAGGCGGTCGCTTGGTTCCAGCGGTCGCAGCATACCAGGCGGTGCGAGCTGCGAGGGCCGCCCAATGCCACTTGTGGCTTTAATTTCCATTTGTATTTCTAATTCCTGTTCTAAATAAATGAATAAATAAATAATCTTTTTAAAAATCTATTAACTAAAATAACCAAAATTATAAAATGAGAAATATTTTACAAATTCAAATCGCTACCCGATCCGTCCTGCAAGCATGATCCGCACCATCCGCTTATTGACACATGCGGAACCAGATATACATCCGGGTCGCCCTCGATTTGATTTTGTCAAAAAAATACTAAACTATATTGTGTTAATACAGATTAAAAATATATTATCTGAGAAAATAAATGCCTTGAAATGGGATCCTGCACTACTTCCGGGATGAAACTTTTTCAGCTTTGGAATTAAACATAAATCTAGTCTTTTTGAGGTTTATGTTTTCCTTTCATGTTAACATTAATTTATATAGTGCATAACCTAAAGAAAGAAACAACTTAAATGCAGATAAACATGGTTTAATCATATTTGGCCGGACTGCTCTAAACATGCCTGATGATGTCAGACAAGCAGTTTAATGGAGAAAATGTAAAAAGCATCAAAACTGTCTCTGAAAAGTCATAAAACATTTTTTAAAGATGTGCATTAGCATTCTTCGGTGAGTTAAGGATAGAAATAAGTAATTTTATTACCATAACTAGATTATTTATTTAAATCCAGATAAACATCTGGTTGTGCCAAATTAGCTGCTGGTATAGATCGTGATTCCAGGACGGATCGGGTAGTGAAAATAACCACTTTCCATTCTATTCACATACTGCGCAACTCCTACTGTTAAAGAGGAAGTGCATAAAGTGAAGTAAAGTGTAATTGGAGGCTTTTGAACAGTAAAAAAAAACACCCAGAGCTTAAAACATCCCACAGCTTGTTTTAAAGAAGCTGAAACAAAAAAAAGCATCATTTGACGTTTTGTACTTTGCATTTTCACTGAGGTGTACGCTACATCGTAGAATAAGCAAATTAGGCCAGTTGATGTGTGAAATGTCACTGCTTGCTGTAGCAGCGGGATGATAATTCTTAAAGAAAAAAAAGGGGTGTAGCTTAAGTTATTCTTCTCAAAACCTGTAGATACAAGACATTTATTTACATTACTTTAATCTCCCATTTAGATGATGACGACTACAAAGCTAATGATTATAGCAAAATAAACATAATAACCCCTTTTTGAATTCTTCATCACAGGGCCTGCTTTTCTTCGAAGTAGGCCAAATTAGGTTTAGAATCCATACCTAGGAAATAATAGAGATCAAACTGGCCCCTTCTTTTGGACATCTCTTTAAGAAAAATAGCACAATTAGAAGTCAGTGCTTTGCAGCGTTTTTTGTGTAATTTTTTGTTGGCATGATACATTACTGTATCGCAATCGCGGCTGCATCTATAGTCCCTCCCCAATGCATTGCTTCAGCCTTTATGTTGGAAGCATTGCACTCACTTCCCAGTTTCCAAAAAGGTTTGGTATAACAGCAACACTTATAAATTAAAAACAAAAATAGTTACAAAGCTTGATATGAATAGCACTGAGCACCAAATTAGTATCATGACAACAATGAACATCTATGAAGTAGGTCAGGATCTTTTTTTAACTCATCAAGAATGTAAGCAAATCAGCATGTTTTAAAAGTGAGCTAAGCTGCCTATTTTGGGCATATTGAAAAAGCCACAAAAAAGAGATTGATATATCTCCCTATGTTTTAATATGACTGATGTAGTTGAGTGTGCTGGGATAACCTATGAGGCACCTCCGTCACTCAGGGGGAAAAAAGGAATACATTTAGTCAGTTCTCCTTTACAATGAACTTTGTTTTAACAATTTGCAATGTCAGTCAGTAGGTCTTGAGCACAGTAAGCAAAGTGAGGAAGTATTGCAGCATGCCACTGGCAACTGATGGCTCTAAAGTTTCTGTATGATTCATATCATCACTTTAAGCTGAAAGGTTTAACAGTTTTGTTTTGTTGTTGTTGTTTAATGGTTTTGTGTTGTTGTTTTTTCTTTAGGAAATGTGAACTGCACTTGATCAACTCTATTTCAAAATGTGTAAAACTGGAGTGGTCAAACCTGAAATTGCTTAGAATTTCTTATCTATCTTATTAGTTCATGGCTATGTTTCTCATCTATCTAGCATTTTAACGTTTATTTGAATCTGTCACCTGACACAGAACAAAGTCAGTTTTTTTTTTAGAGAACAGGCTTTAGTTGGGGAAGTGGATGTGTGCTTCTGCAAGAGGAAGGAGTGTGCAGAAAGAGCAGCCTACCCAGGGAGCAATTCCTAAAACAGCCTCCACTGATTATAAGAAGCAGTAAAACTGCATTAAATGCATCATAAAAAATAAATGTCAAAGACCTCACATGCCTTTACTCCATTCGTCCATGCATGATGCTAAACGTATGCATGCTTTCTGACTGACAGATACTGGTTCACAGTTCAGCAAAAGGAAGACGAGGAAATCAGAGATAAGCTGCCTTGGATGAGACACAGAACCATATAAGCTTATCCTATATGTGCACAACAGGAAGCCAAAGGCTGATGCTAATGTTTTATTTACACGTTTAGATTGACAGAATATCAAAACCTTAGACATATGTCATCACACTTTTTTTTTTTTTGCATTCAGTGGATCCTCATTAGGAAGATGTGACTTACCGAGTGATTGACTCCCCACATGAGTACGCTGAGGAGAGGGTCGCTGGCACGAAACAGCTTCACTTTCTGAGCCACGAAGTGTTTCTTCTTCGTCTTCGTTTTGCTCGCAATAGATGCGGCGATGCTGGCCGCCGAAGCCATGTTTCCAGCAAACTGCCCGCTGCTGCAGTCTGTGCAACTGATGATGTGTAGATCAGCGTCTCCCCTTGAAGCTGGCACCGTGGCCTCACGATGTAGTCGGGTTATTACTATTCATTTAGTCTCCTAACCCAACAGAATGCACCAAGTCGGTTAATGTTATCTATCATGGAAGGGGGTGAGAAACTAATAAGCTAACAATGTTGCTCTCCCGCACCTAAAACCGCCTCCTTTCAGCCTCACATCGATGCCTTCTTCCTCTCGCTCACAGAGCTGGCGTTAGCATAGCTCGTCAAACAGACCAATGGTTAAATTTATAAAATAATAGTAATACAAAAATAAACAATGACAGCGGGAGGAAGCGGATATATTCCCGTTGGAAGCGCCGAATAAGAGAAGGGTCACCCCCCCGCCCACCTCCCTCCCAGAAGAAAATATTAAAATGACAACCGAATGATGCGAAACGTATTACCAGACAAACAGCTAGAACCCCTCCGACGTTCCTCGGCCATAAGACGGTACGAAGCAGAGGCAGGCTCCGTCGCTCACAGCCGCTTCGGCTACCGTTAGCCTGTGAGCTAACCGGAGCTACTGCTAGCCAGCTTCCAACAGTCCTCCTACGCGTTTAGTCCGTAGATATGACAGGGGCGTATCCTGTCAGTGCCCATACCCCGTTCGACGTAAAAACACCAAGCAGCAGATAATAAGACCACTAACGTCCACTGGAGGTCAGCTCCTAACTCCGCAGCGCTGGTGTTCATGTGTGCTGCTGTCAAATGACAGCTCGACGGATGGGAGGTGACAGTCCGAGCCGCGCAATGTCTGCCGCTGCGCTGATTCGCCGCACCTCCCTCCTTCGCTCCACACACACAGCCAAGCCCCTGACTTTATACTTATACTCTACTAAATACGAAATAAGGATTAAATGGAGCTATTTCCTTTTAAAAATTCGGTTGTAATAGTTATGTATGAGCAACATCCCCACCGGGCATCCCTGTAATGCTTTGCTTTCGATGAGATTAATCACAGGCTCTATTTTTTTCAGGAAGCAGCGCGTTAATGTCCCCAGCTACTATAGAGGTAATGTCTTTAGAGGTCATTTGGTTTTCTGGTGCATACTACGCTGTTTCCACTGGCACTCTGCTGTGTCAGTAGCTCTGGAAATGTGCTGATGCAGTTTAGTCCTCATTTGTTTTATGAGTCGCTGTTCATAGCAGCACATTTAAAGACCGGCCTCTTTGTTTCCTACGCGGGTCAGGTCAACCCTTTTTAACCGAAAAAATACCTCTATAGGTTTTATGCATGTGAATACGCTCCAGGTCAGGGGACTTCATCGTTTTCCAGGCCAATGACAAGCAGAGGCCTAGCCAGAAAATTTTTAATAAGGGTGGCCAGGTAATAACCAATGTACACTGCTGGGTGGCCGTTAGCGGATAGGCTCCAGAACCTCAGGGTCAATCTACACTGTTCTACCAGGAAAATTAACAAGCAAAAAATCTACATTTTCAAAATAAAGACAAACTTTACTTTCCTACAGCCTTTGCTAACATATAGAAGTATATATTTAAACATCCGTGCTTTCTAAATAAAAGGTATAGTGGATAAAACTCTTTCAGGTTTGAGTTCTGGGGCAAACATTTTTTCCATTGTCATTACCTACTTTTATCAATACTCATTCTGCATAATATTGATATTTACAAGTACCTTTACCAACATAAATTGATTATTTAATAAGTTTTCATTAAAATAGCCATTTATCTATTATTTCGCGGAAGACTCCTAGATGACTTAAAGAGACTTTATTTTTATCATTTCACCCCATATATAACACAAAATGTAGTTCTGAAAAGAGCATGAATTCTGTACTTATCTAATGTTAGTATACTGATGTGCATAATTAACCACAAAAAAATAAAATGCTTTGAATATTCCACTTGAGAGTATTACTGCTGCCACTGTCTGTATTAGAAGGAAATAAATGGTAGGGGTGGCGACAGGGGTGGCCACCCCTGGACCCCAATCTAGCTCCGCCCCTGATGACTAGGGCTTTGATTCTTTGGGATTCCCACGATTCGATTTAGAATCGGTTCTAAGGGTCACAATTCGATTCTTTTTCCGATTCTTTTAAATCTAAACGATTCGATTCAGAAACGAGTAATTTACGATTCAAAGGATCTATTCCAGTCTGCTGGCATGAAAGAAGAGTACATTTATAAAGTCTTAATAATTGTGAATGTTTTATTTACCTATTGCAATAATGTAAACACAGAAAGGTAAATTCTGTTGAAGACCTCTGCTCTAGTTAATAATGATCATCACACCTACTGGGTTCCAACGCAGTTTAAAAACAAAACAAAAACATATTTACATATTTTAGAGGTTGGGTTAAGTGTGGAAAAATAAAATGTGTATGGAAAAATATTTGTATTTTAATTGTTTATTTTAAATTTTCTCAAAAGTCCATCCATCCATCCATCCATCCATCCATCCATCCATCCATCCATATATCCATCCATCCATCCATCCATCCATCCATCCATCCATCCATCCATCCATCCATCCATCCATCCATCCATCCATCCATCCATCCATCCATCCATCCATCCTAATATTTATCATTTTATTTCCTATTTAACTTTTCCTCTGTACTTTGTATATATTCCTTCCTTCCTTCCTTCCTTCCTTCCTTCCTTCCTTCCTTCCTTCCTTCCTTCCTTCCTTCCTTCCTTCCTTCCTTCCTTCCTTCCTTCCTTCCTTCCTTCCTTCCTTCCTTCCTTCCTCCTGTGATTCAACTGCAGCAATAAATCCTTCATTTCATTATCAACATTTTGTCCACATTCAAACATCTTTTAAAGAATTCTCAGAGAAACTGAAGTCTGTATTTATTTTATTTATTTCACCCCAGGCTTTACAAAACCACCAAAACTTCGAGGATCGAAAATGCTTCACAAAAAATAAAAAAAATTAGCTGGGGTTGTTTGTTTAGATAAAATGTTATGTTAAAGTGTATGCTTCTGTTTGTAAAGATTAATTTATGCCAACAAATTTTACACTTTATTTGCAATAGTGCCACCATATTGCTCTACTTCTGCATATTATGTTTCATTTTGTTCTAATCATAATTATAACTTTCTCTCCTGGTGCTCAGTTTGAGCCCCTGTCTTTTGAGAGTAAAACCCCAGCAACGGTAGTGTTGCTTTTAAACTCCCAAGAGGAAGACATTCTGACAAAAGCATTGGAGGCAAACAATAGATTTGCCAGTAAAGGTAGATGTTATAGGTTTTTCCTTTGTATAAATAATGTTACAATGCTCTGCAATGTTGATGTAGAGATATTTATTTATTTATTTTTACCTCATTCAGAGTTCTGCTAAACCTCTCTTGCTCACTGTCTCCCCCTATTGTCAGGAGATGAGATGAAAGTTTCTCTGCTGGGAATAGGGGCCCTGGAGCCTCTCTGCAGGCTTATTAATCACAGCAACGGACTGATCAGACGCAATGCCTTCATGGCCCTGGGTATTATGGCCACCAATGGTTCGTTCTATCTAATTATCCATATGATAGCAAACAGTGAAATTAACTTTGATGGCTTTAACTATTTATTTTCCTGTTAAAATTCTGTATAGGCAGCTAGCTTTAAAGAGCTTAGGTATTTTAAAGGTTTTTTTTCACTTTAAATTACTATTTCTTGACCTGTTTTTATTCTTAAAGGTGAAGTTAGCAATGCCCTAAAAAAACTCAATGCGATTATACAAAAACCTGAAGGTAAGTTATTATGGTTACCAAATATTTGCCTAATTTTTGTGAACATAAATGTAAACATAAATTGTAGATTTTGACAATAAATGTATAATTTCTTACATGGAAAAAAAACGCAACAAACATCCTCTCTTCTCCAGAGGACGTGGTTGTCCATGAGTTTGCAACACTGTGTCTTGCCTCTCTGTCAGTGGATCTCACTCCCAAAGTCCAGATCTACAACAACAATGTTATGCCAACTATAATCAAACTCCTAACCAGGCCAGACCCAGATGTCACAAAGAACTCACTAGAGATCATCTTCAACCTAGTTAAGGTGACTCATATGCTTAGAGAAAATCACAGGACTTATTCTGCAGTAAGCCTTTTCATTTTGAAGTTATGTCAACATTCATAAACATTTAAAACACAACCAAACATGTGACTGTAATATTTTTCAACCCAGTTGTAACAATTGTGATTTGGGTGAATAAAGGACTACAAAAGCCGCAATGTGCATGAGTTAGGTGGTATCGTCTCGCTTCTATAGCTGCTTAAATCAGACTTTCCTGTCATCCCACGTTTGGCTTTAAAGATGCTGAAATGTCACACTTGATAAGGATACACAGCTAACATTTACGAAGGAGCAGGGATTTGAGAAGCTCATGAATCTTCTCTACAATAAGATGAATATAAAGAAGTTTGCAACGTACTCACACCACTTAAACTACTTTAATCATTTAAAACCTCAATGTATTATATTGGGAAAAAGAAGGCAGACCAACACAAAGTAGTGCACATTTCTCAAAAAAAAAAAAAAAACGAAAAAAAAAAAAAAAAAAAATATATATATATATATATATATATATATATATATACACACACACATACATGTCTGTCAACAACTACAAAAAAAGAAAAAAAAGAAAAGAAAAGAATTTCATACACCCTTCTCCAAACCTATACCCTATAATGGCTGCTTTCCACTGAGTCAGATCATCAGGTTTTGGGGGTATTTCTTTATATCTAGAGACTGTTTTTTCCCCACTAATCAGATTAATGAAAGAGTTTGTGAGCACTGGCCTTAAATCTTGCTATACATTACGTTTTGATCTAAATTGTTCCGTCTTACTTCTGGATCAGTGGCGGTTCAAGATGGCATTTACATAGTGGGGACCCATGGTGGGGCCAGTGCTTTGCGATGGGGCCACGGAAAAAAAGGATATCAAACACACAGAAAAAAAGCAAACAACAACAACAAAAAGTAGCATTTGATTTAGCATGTTAAGTGAGCCACAAAGCTACGGCTACAGTTTTCTGATCTAACAGTAAAAAATTGTGAGTCTATAACTGAAGCTCAAATCTGACTGTAATTTCAAAACAGTTGTTAAATTAAATTGTAAAGGTATAATATTATGCATGGCCCAAAGGATGAATCACTTACGGTCTCCTCTGCCAGCAAATATCATCATAATACATTTATTTAGTATTACAAAAACTGATCTAAATAAATACATTTCTTAAAATAAAATTATTTGTCCTGAATTTGAACAGATAATTATAATGATTTACCAAAGGAAGAAGTACTTTTGCTCTAAAAAAGAATATTAATATTATGTTCTTGAAAGAAGATAATGGACTTTTTTCTCTTATTTTAAATGTATATCTTGTTCCATTGGCGATTTGTTTGACTTACCCGCCCAAATCAAGAGAAAATACACCTATTACAAGAAAAATGTATCTAATTATATTTGCACTTAACTTTATTTTTAGTTATTACTTTTTGTTTTCAGTGCAGGGGCCATAACAGGGGCCAGGACCTGCTCTTCAGTTGCAAAGGCCCCTGTTTGGCCCCTGTCTAGAACCACCCATGTTCTGGATTCAAGTTTTCGAGGAGATTAAACCAAATCGCTATTTCTTTTTAAATCTTTCTTACAAATTTTCACTACTAATACTACTCAAAATAATAATAATGGGATAAATTACTTTCTTGTTAGAAGTAAGGGGTTGTTAAATAAAAATACTTTTCACACTTTTTACATTTTTTTTGGTAAAATGTTTAAAAACACACATTTTTTTTTTCACATCAAAGTTTTCCACTACTTATTGTTGATCGTTTAGATGCAGCTGTAGGGAAAGGCATTGACCTGTGGGGTTGGAATCCCTTTTTTTTTTTCTAAAGACAGCAATTGTATGAAAAATATGTTCTTAATAAATTGAACATTATTGATCTCACATTGGAGAAATTTATCTCTGCATTTAACCCATCCCTTTGGGGAGCAGTGGGCTGCCATTGTGCAGCGCCCACGGAGCAGTGTGGGGTTAAGAGTCTTGCTCAGGGAGCCAGAGTGGCAGTCTGGGGGAGTGGGGGATCAAACTTCCGATCTCAGGATTCAAAGCCCTATGGCCTAACCCCTAGGCCACCACTTCCCTTTAGTATCTTCATCTAGTTTTCCTGAAGAGGCTACTGAAATAGGAGGAAGTAAAGTGGAAGTTGAATGATCAGCTGATCATGGTTCACTCTGCAGCTGGTCTTGAGAAGCTTGAAAGGCTGAGGGACTTTGTCAAAAAGCCCAACACACCTAGAATCCCATCCACTGTTTTAAAATGCCTCAGCAGGGCAGCTGTAACGACGTTGAAAAAAAACCAATTTTAAAACAATTCCCTTCATGTCATCTGTAGAATGTTAAAGGAAAGTTAGGGTGCATTTATAGTAGTTGCTGATTTGTTTTGTTGGTGTTTGCCTGGCTCTCTGTGAACATACAGCTGAAAGCTTTAATGTTCTCCATGAGCAGGATGTAGAGAGTACGTAGGTAGAGCTTCTGTCTGTGGTTGACCACAGTGTGAGAGCTGCTGCCTGTCAGGCTATGGCTGCCATGAGCTTCCACCCAGCCACCAAAGACAACTTCAGAGACTTGGGTAAGCAAGACATATAGATATGTATATTCACTGGGTCATAACAGCATAGGAATAAACAGTGCAGCTGGTGTGTTTCAGGTGGTGTCCCTCTGGTGGTGCAATAGTGAAAACTTGGAGATAAGAGAGGCAGTGACCCAGGCTTTCTCAAGACTGACACCTAACAACACCTCCAATGCACTGTGAGTCACAAACATCCTTTAAAACCATCCATCCATCCATTTCCTGACATGCTTAATTCCAGGTGGGGTCGCAAGGGGTGCTGGTGCCTATCTCCAGCTGTCTACGGGCAAGAGGCAGGGTACACCCTGGACAGGTCACCAATCCATTGCAGGGAAACACAGAGACAAACAGGACAAACAACCATTCACAGACAAACTCACACCTAAGGAGAATTTTGAGAAGCCAATTAACCTAACAGTCATGTTTTTTGACTGTGGGAGGAAGCTGGAGTACCCAGAGAGAACCAATGCATGCTCAGGGAGATCCTGCAAACTCCCTGCAGAAAGACCCCGGGTCGGGAATCGACCCGCAACCTTCTTGCTGCAAGACAGCAGTGCTACCCACTGTTCCACTGAGCAGCCCTTCCTTTAAAACCTTACATTTTTAATGCATTTAAGTGAAGATTAAACAAGGAATAAGGTTGCATACATTAAATCTCAGGCTCTTAGGAGACCACAATTCTGTTCTTGAAAAACTGTTACATGCAACATCTCACAAAAATGATGCTGAATTATAAAACCTGTAAGCTTTTATTCTAATGTAAAAGTAAGCAAAGTGTTAGACTCCATCAACAGACAGTTCTGCAAACAAAAATATTTTTTTTGCTATTTAAAAAGTGTAATTTGTCTTAAGAACTCTTTTTAAAACCGTTGTCCATAAACAGCATTGAAAATAAGTTGATGTAATAAAACTGGAAACAAATATTTAAGGAATAAGTATAGTTAGCAAAACAATGAGGTAAAAGACCTTTAGAGGTACAATTGGTTTTAGATTCATCTTTTGGTTTTTAGGCACTTTTATAATCCGTCATATGTCTTTGTTTCTCGTGCAATCTGTCTTATAATATCTTGTGTCTTTCACTCTCTGCATTATACCTTTATTACATCTGTTCTCCTAAAAACAAAACAAACCAAAAAAATAAAATAAAACCCAGCTGCATCATCCATCATCTCTGGCACATGAAATAGTTTTATTTTTTCCTTCTCATCCTTCTGTTACATCCTATATTTTACTGTATTTACATGTCTGTACAATCTACCTGAATGAGACACATGCCACATATACATAATGCACACTGCAGTGCCTCCTACACTAGATAAGAATCCAGCGCTTGCAATGCAACCCCCCATCTACTAACGTGGTATCTTCCATTGCGGTGTATGACGCAGGGGCCATGAGGTCCTCGTCCAGAAGCTGTAAACTCTGCAAGGACAGTGGCCAACTCTGCTGCCACTCTTTGTAACATGGAAGAACAGGAAACGATCCAGTCCAGCATTCGATCTCCTGGAGGCATACAGGCTCTGGTAGAAGGCTTAAAGTGCAAAGATACACAGGTTCTTGTCAACACAGCACTGTGTGTGGCAGTGCTGGCCTCTGACAAGGATGCAAAGAAAAGAGTTTGTCTAACCAATCATCATATTTTCTTTTTATATCAAGACAGAAAATTAATGACTGAATGTCTGGAATTTTCATCTAACAACTAAACACAATGTCTTGCAAAGTATTCATGCCAACACTCAAAGGGCCAGTGGTAACTCTAGAGGTGTTTTAATGACTCCATGTTCATGTGGTTGACAAGGCAACTATTATTTGTGCACAAAGTCCATGAAGCAGACAAATCTAGTCTATGTGGAGAAGTGACCAGAAGGAAGCTATTGCTGAAAAACCTAATGAAGTAGCTAAATTTTGCTGTTTGCTAAACAAAAAGGTAAAGCTTTTCCTACACACTAAATGCTATGTATGGTGGTAAACTACAAATTATATCACCCTGTTCATTTAATCCCCAGATATTGTGGTGACTGCATCAAGCTTTGATTCTGCTTTGAGTCATGTGAGATAATAGAGCTGGTCAGAGTTTTTAGAGGGCCTCATTGGAATAATCAAACTGTAAAGATTAGGCTGGAAGTTTATCGTTCAGCTGGACAATGCCCCTAAATGTTCCGCTAAACTGAAGCTGCACTGAAATTATTTAGAGCAAAGCACATTTATATGTAAGAGGAGTTCAGTCAAAGTTCATAAGTAAATCAAATTAGAACTGGCTGTTCTCTCACATTGTCCATCCAATTTGACAAAGATGTATAATTTTCCTTTTATTTCATAAAGCTCAATGCATTGTATTACTTACAAGTAATTATTAAAGTCTTTTGCTTAAAATCTAACAGCATGTAAAATGACAAGGAGTTGCTGCAAAATGCATGTTTTGAAGTGAATGTTTGCGTTGGGAACATTTCTTGTGCAGAGAAGCTGTGTACACTTCGGTAAAACACTGAGATACATATAAAGCAATCAAATGTAGTTATAATAAAAACTATTTATTTGTTAAAGTGCAGTAAGCTGAAGCCATTATTTAATCACAGTACAACGAAGTAATTTCCCTCTGGGATTATTAAAGTATTTCTGATTCTGAACACTCTAATTGTTTTCAAAATTGTAGTTTTTCAACCAGCCAGCAGATGGTGGCATAGAACAATATATTAGTCTTTTACACAAGAAGGAAACAAAGATTTTGCTCAGTATTAATATGTTCTTTGCGGCATGCATGATCATTCTTCAGAGCATGTCTTCCTCTGTGTCTCAGGCCTTTTCATTCTACAGGAAATCAAACAGTCAGTTAAGCATTGAACCAATTTCAGCAAGTTGCAATGATCAGCCTGCTGAACTCCAACTTGCCTGTTAAATACAGCCTGATGAGACATTTTGCATCCACTGACATTATTACGAGTGACTTCTATGATGCTGGGAAGGTTTGTTTACAAAAACACAGAACTCCCGATATGAGAATCAACAACATTAAAAACAAGCAGCATTTCGTAATCTAGGCAATTCTTTAGGATGCTAGATCTCAGGTTAATTAAATGATTTCATATAAACTAAATAAAAACTAAGAGAGTCCAACAGTCCTTACTCTCAAAGAGCTGGACAAAATAGTAACAATGATAACTTTCAGGCAGGATAGAGATGAAGGCTGAAGTCTTTAAGAATATTGCTGGACTTAAAAAATGTTATTTTAAAACTCATTTGCTTTTGTTTCCAGCAGGCTTTGAAAACTGTTTGAATGGACAAAGTTCAAAGTTAAAAACTCCAATGTTCTCACACAACCAGTTTATGTCTTAGCCTTTAAAAAGGATACGTATGTGGGATGATAGGGAAAGTTTGTTGCCTATTAAGTTGTCATCTATCTATCTATCTATCTATCTATCTATCTATCTATCTAGAGACAGATATATATTTGTATTGTCTGTTTGCTGCATCTTGTAGGACGTAATCATCCCTTATGCATTTCTTCCTCTGTTTCTTCCACAGGCCATGCAGTTCTGACTTTTGAGGAGCTGTTCAAACAGCCAGTCAACCAGGAGCGGGCCGTTATTGTTATCAGCAATGCAGCAGAGTGTAAATCTTTTTGCATTTGCATGATATAATCCAGCCAAAACAGGCCTGCAAAGAGATTAAAAGACTGCAATGAGCTAAATATATGGAATTGAACCAATCACTGGTTATTAACTACTTTATAGAATAATCATCTAAATGTTAAAAATGGAGTCAGCCACTAAGTTATTTTATGTTTGTTTCAAAGGCATGTAGGAAGACTGTCACCCTCCCCCTAGCTGCTCCAATCCAAAGCTCCACTTTTCCCCTCTACTTTTTTGTTTCTTTTTTCCCCTCTCCCTCTTTGCCTCTAGAGTGCCCCACCATTGTGTGCTGACTGAGTAATTTATCCCACTTTTAAGATGCCAAACACTCTAAGACCAACTAACTAACATCCACAGTGATGAACACACACAAAAATGCACTACAGGATATCAAATTCATGAATTGTGAGTTTACAAAAACAGAGTTAAAAGTATTCTACCTAATTAACTAAGCACCTTATGGGTGTATACTAAGTAACCGTGATGAAAAACAAAGCAGCACATCTCAGGATAGCTTCTCTTTACAGAACACATGCACACACAGCACCACATGCATTCCTTAGCAGGCTGTTATGTAATCTAAATGAGTTGAAGTGAATTAAGTTAACCTTTGTATACATTTTACTGAAGTAAGATGAGCTTTTTTGGTTTGGGCATCTTTAAAAAATGAAAACAATAAAAACACAATGTGACAATAAAACACAACAGTCTGTAACATGAACAGCTTTTTGAATCACTTTATTTGAAAACATGCAAAGAGATATCAAAAATATTAATGTTTATTACTCAAGTACAAGTATGAATCCTACCGTTTAAAAACACTTTTAAAGAAGTTTGATTATCAACTTAAACTTTTTACTCAAGTACAAGTGTAAGGTACCATTTTAAAACTACTTTAAGTATAAAATTAAAAGTAATACAGCAAAAAATGTTAATGGCAGATGCTTAAAACCTCATACTGGTTACTGCACTGCCCTATTAAAGGAACATTGTTCTACAATTTTGTATGATAAATTATTTATACTTAATTGTCTTATTTTTATAACCAATGGTAGCAGTGTATGGTTTAACTTTGCATCACCTTCAAAAACTGTTTATTTTGGTATATGGAAAAAACAATTATGTGCAACACCAACTCCAACCATAAAGAGAATGTTTTTATTTATTTATTTTTTTAAATACTAACAGGCTAAGATGAGAATAAGCTTAAATGAAAAACAACTTACAAGTGTATTTTTAAAATTTAAGCAGTAGAAATAAGAGATGCTTGCATATAATATAAGGAGTAAAATAAAAAATTTGTCTAAAAAATAATTACTTGAGTAAAGTATAGATAGCCAAAATATCTTAAGAAAGGTAATGAAATATTTGTACCTTGTTATTTGACACCTCTGCATATACAGTAATCTCCAACACAAAATGGGTCTTTTAAGAAAAGATGTGTAGAGAACTTTCAAAGTAAAAGTCTAGCAAAAAAAGTGAATTTTAATGTCGTAAGAAAAATTGCAAAGTAAGAAATAAACTTGTTCTGAGCAAATTTGTTTGTGCTAGAGTTATTGCCCCCTGTAATACAGTATCTGAAACATTATTTATAGTGCACCTTAATCCGATTGTTTAAAAAAAACCCCAAAACAAATATTGTCTGTTTCACTGGGGAATAAATGTATGACACTTCACCAGTTTTCAAACAGGAAAGACAAAACATGTCATTTTATTTTGGTGCTTGTGTGCTGATCTTCAACCAGAATGCAGTTGTAAGAAAATAGTTACTTCTTCTATGGCAAAAATGTCCTTTTCAAACAACTGGATCGGTGAAAAGGTGTTTAAAGGGATACTTGCAGAGGGTTTTTTTTGCATTGGCTAGAAGCTTCTAGCCTAAATCAAGTGACAATTGCTTTGGCTTGAGTTCACCAAAAGGGCAACACATTTGCAGTTGAATATTTTGCAGCTGAATTTTTTGCAGGCAAACTTTTCCCAGATATAAATTCAGAGTAGGGACTTCAATGTGTAAAAAAATTTAAAATTTGGTGTTAAAAAAAATTCAGTGTTTAAAATTTGGTGTACAAAAAAAGGAAGATTCCAATTAGACTATTTTTCTTCCATACGGAGAGATCAAACAACTGTCAGGCAGCAAAGAAATACAGGTGCTGGTCATAAAATTAGAATATCATGAAAAAGTAGATTGATTTCAGTAATTCCATTTAAAAAGTGAAACTTGTATATTATATTCATACATTACATACAAACTCATATATTTCAGATGTTTATTTTGTTTAATTTTGATGATTACAAATGACAACAAATGAAAATCTCAAATTCATCATATCAGAAAATTAGAATATTGTGAAAAGGTTCAAAATTGATGGCCCCTGGTGCCACACTCTAATCAGCTAATTAACTCAAACCACCTGCAAAAGCCTTTAAATGGTCTTTCAGTCTAGTTCTATAGGCTACACAATCATGGGGAAGACTGCTGACTTGACAGTTGTCCAAAAGACGACCATCGACACCTTGCACAAGGAGGGCAAGACACAAAAGGTCATCGCTAAAGAGGCTGGCTGTTCACAGAGCTCAGTGTCCAAGCACATTAATAGAGAGGCGAAGGGAAGGAAAAGATGTGGTCGAAAAAAGTGTACAAGCAAGAGAGATAACCGCACCCTGGAGAGGATTGTGAAACAAAACCCATTCAAAAATGTGGGGGAGATTCACAAAGAGTGGACTGCAGCTGGAGTGAGTGCTTCAAGAACCACCACACACAGACGTATGAAAGACATGGGTTTCTGCTGTCGCATTCCTTGTGTCAAGCCACTCTTGAACCACAGACAGCGTCAGAAGCGTCTAAAGAGAAACAGGACTGGACTGCTGGTGAGTGGTCCAAAGTCATGTTCTCTGATGAAAGTAAATTTTGCATTTCCTTTGGAAATCAAGGTCCCAGAGTCTGGAGGAAAAGAAGAGAGGCACTTCATCCACGTTGCTTGAAGTCCAGTGTAAAGTTTCCACAGTCAGTGATGGTTTGGGGTGCCATGTCATCTGCTGGTGTTGGTCCATTGTGTTTTCTGAGGTCCAGGGTCAACGCAGCCACATACCAGGAAGTTTTAGAGCACTTCATGCTTCCTGCAGCTGACCAACTTTTTGGAGATGCAGATTTCATTTTCCAACAGGACTTGGCACCTGCACACAGTGCCAAAGCTACCAGTACCTGGTTGAAGGACCATGGTATCCCTGTTCTTAATTGGCCAGCAAACTCTCCTGACCTTAACCCCATAGAAAATCTATGGGGTATTGCGAAGAAGAAGATGCAATACACCAGACCCAACAATTCAGAAGAGCTAAAAGCCACTATTAGAGCAACCTGGGCTATCATAACACCTGAGCAGTGCCACAGACTGATCGACTCCATGCCACGCCGCATTGCTGCAGTAATACAGGCCAAAGGAGGCCCAACTAAATACTGAGTGCTGTACATGCTCATACTTTTCATGTTCATACTTTTCAGTTGGCCAACATTTCTATAAATCCTTTGTTTTTATTGGTCTTCAGTAATATTCTAATTTTCTGATATGATGAATTTGAGATTTTCATTTGTTGTCATTTGTAATCATCAAAATTAAACAAAATAAACATCTGAAATATATGAGTTTGTATGTAATGTATGAATATAATATACAAGTTTCACTTTTTAAATGGAATTACTGAAATCAATCTACTTTTTCATGATATTCTAATTTTATGACCAGCACCTGTACATCGTTACAGCTTGCAATGAAAGAAGATGGCATGTTCAAAAAGGCTAGAAAAATGCAAACAGTAAAAGAAAAGCTATCAAAAAATTGCAGAGCTGCTGGGTGAGAGTAAGAGTGACAGCGAGCCCAGCGAGGCAGAGGACGTCTGTGCGTAAAAGCCTCATGTAGGCTTTTGAGATGCTCTTTGAGCAAAGTTCAGATTGCATTCGAGTTTAAGTGTTGCAAGATATTCAATTAAATGTGTCATCACTGTGTTTTTTAAAAACTTTTTATTGTTTAATTGCACAAATCTTTCAATGCAATAATATTTCAATAAAATTTTAGCACTTTAGCACAATATAAAATAGTTTCTTTAAACCAAAGAAATTTGGTTTATTAGTCTTTTTGTTTTGTTCCTAAAAAGTGGTCCTGGAAAGAGGGGATGATCTTATACAGTACACTGAAAAAAAATAAAGTAACCTTTTTTGGTATTTACTTAATCATATTCAGTTACTTTAACACAATTTTTTCATGTTAGCAGGGCAGGACATATAAAATGTGCTAAAGTAACTAAATATGATTAAGAAAATGTCTAAAGCAGTTGCATAATTTTTTTTACAGTGTAATCAGGGGCATCCTATATTCGGGTCAGTACAGCATATGATAGATAAATTGTGATATGCACAAGTCCCTCAGACTATTTTTTCAGGGTTTGGTTGAGGTTTTGAGGACCCAAATGCAGAGGCAGGGAGGCAGAAGTGAGTTTTTGTACTTTTAATGGAGTGGTCACAACAGGTAACAGAAGCAGGAATCCAAAAATCCAACACAAAAATGCAAACAAACCAGAATCATGGAGTCATAAGGGAAAACATGCATGAGGAGCCAGGGAAAGACGAGAAACCAGCATTGAGGAACTGCACAGGAAGATTATTTATGGCTGATTGAACAAAGGACTAACAAACTGATTAGGAGCAGGTGTGACCAGAGACTTCTAGAAAGAAGCCAGGAAAAAGGAGACCAACACAAGAGGGCAACAAAGAAAAAGCCTAAGAACTCAAAGGCAACATTCACACTGCAGCCTGAACTGACCCAAATCCGATTTCTTTTGCCCATATGCGACCTGGATCTGATCTTTTCATGGCAGTCTGAACAACACAGATCCGATTTTTCCCAATCTGACCCAGACCACTTTGCTATGTGGTTCTGAATCCGTTAGGGATCTGATCTTTTCAAATGCGATCTATGTCTGATCGGCCAGGTCAGATTCATCAGACCTGAATGTCATTAATACTCGACAAAGGTCGCTATTATACACCTTGCAATACAGAAGCAGCAAGAAAAAAAACAACCATGGCAGATGATGATGCGGAGAGCAGTATTCTGCAGAGAGCATAAAAGATTGTGTTTTTATGGTTGGAAAAGACCACTAGATGCGCTCCGGTACTACCATCCATGTTTACTTCCGCAAACACAGTGCACGCTGGCCTGTGATGTTATTGTGTCCTCTACTGCGCATATGGAACACTTGCATTGTATGACTGCAGTTCACACAGGAGATCACATGCAAGTCGCATATATTTGGAAATGTGAGCGGCAACGTAAAAAAAAAAAATCAGATTTCGCAAAAAAGTCGGAATTGAGCATCAAGGCCTGCAGTGTGAACGTAGCTAAATATATCCAGAAAACACAACATAAGAATTAAACCAATAAAACAAAGAAAAACATCAATCAATATGAAACTGAAAACACAAAGAAAACTTAACAGAACCAAGAACATGACACTATTTATTTATTTATTTTTTGTTCAGTTTATTTTACTGATGGATAAAAACATTTTAAAAATAAGTTGTTGCGCTTTTAGCTTCAGTCTTAGAATCACAGTTTATATGGATTCCAGAGATGTGGCGCTATAGTTCATTTAATATAAGGATGAGTTTTTGTCCTTTTTTTTTATCATTATTTTGTTGGGTTACCCAATAAACAAAACATTGGCCCCACCCTGCCCCCCTGGTAAATTTGCTCTAGAAGCGCCACTGTGGCACTGAATTAACATCCTAACTGACCTCATCTTAATCGTTTCAATTTTTTGCTGATTGCAAGTTGAAAACAACTGTACTTTTTCTCATGGTGAATACATCAGGCCTAGAATGCAGTGGTTCTTTTAAGTGGACCTAATGCATCACCTGGAACCCTTACTGACAGTCCTTACACCTGATGCAGTGCAATATAAGATTACAGTTTCATGTAAACACAAACAGTTCTGTTTGACTTACTTTTACAACATTAACTGGACTAGAGATCCAAATCCTAAAATAAACAAGCTTTACCTTCTTGTGTCTTCTTTTTTTTTTTGGCATGAAGCAGTCACACTGATGTACATTTTTAATTACAGCAAAAAATAAAATAAAAATAATAAGATAGACTCTCATACATTCAGAATGTAGAAAGTAATACAAGCCACCTCTTGATTAGGCTCCCCAACTTTCCTTTAAAAAAAAGAACTATCCCATATTAATAAATCTAATTTAATTCAGGTTTGATTTAAATTTTTACAAAATAAAATAAATGCATATCGTCGGTAGGATGGAAGGGTCCCTTTTTTTTTAATTTTTTTAAAGAGTTGGCAACCCTACTGTGTTCAATGTTCACACAAAAAATCCACCCAGAATGTATACTTACCGCACTAAAGCATTCATTGCGCAAACCCCCTGCAATAAAAGCAGGTAAAGTGAGTCCAGATTGGCCTGTTCAGGTGTTGGTTGGATTTTTGACCTGGAAGACCAGAGTGAACTCGCTGCAGCATGAAAGATCCGCCGCAGCGGGAGCGCTGATAATCTGCGCTGCACTTGACTCCGGACCCGGACGCACCAACACTTGGCACCGCGGGAGGAAACATGTCGCGTTTGGTCGCTCGTCTCCTAGTTGTGGTTTCTCAACAACATGCAGCTGTCAGATCAGCGGTAAAGCCGAGGAGGATCCCTTCATTCATCCGATGTTTCTCCACATCTCCAGGTAGTAAAGAGCCCGACCTTTGGCTGTTCTGCAGCTGCGTCCTGCACCTCTTTTATAGCTTGTGTGGTGGCAGATTAAAAGAAATGGGTACTGCGATTCAATATATTATAAACCTATATATACAATTTAAATTCCTCTTTTTATGCAGGCCTCCAGTCTCTTACACGTTACAACAAAACTACAGACTGGCAAAAGAAACTGACACCAGAGCAGTATTTTGTCACAAGAGAGAAAGGAACCGAGGAGGTGAGTAGCCTATATTTGTCTGTGAAAAAAAAAAAAAAATAAATAAAAAATAATCAGAATAAATCCATGAAATAAAATACCTAACAAATTGTACAAATGTGACACTAACATATTTTATCTGATGACAAAAGATATGGACTTTGCTCACCATTATAGGACTGACCTATGCTTTAGTTTCAGTCTGACATGTTACACACGTTCCACTATATTATGATTTGGAGTGATGTTATGGATTGGAGTTTATACATTTATTTTTGTTATGTATTTTACATACTGTAAAACGTCCTGTGATGAAAGTGCTCATGTTTCAAAGGACAAAAATGTACAAACTTTGTTGCTTGCACTGCTAATAGCAGTCTGCCTCACAACCAACATTTTTGACAGTTAAATCCTGCCAAATATCTCATTGAGCATTGCCAATCATGTGTCCAAGGTTTGATTAACATCCAGAATCATTGCTGCCAACTTTTCAGTCAAATTTGAAGTGAGATTTTATTTCATTGTAATTTAATGTTTCTGGTGCTTCATTGCAAAAAACCACAAGTACCTAAGTACCCCCAAAGTACCTGGGATATTTCTACTGAGCCAGTGCGAATTGGGAATACAGCATGGAACCACCATCTGTAATCACACTCCTGCCCACTGGAACCTTTATCCTCAACACTCAAGTAGAGAGAACTCTAAAGCATAAGACAACAAGACTGAGGAACACCCTCAACCTTGAAGAATGTCAAAAGCTAAGCCATGTAAAGTGACATTTGCTTTGCTGATGCATCATGTATTTAATTTTGCAGAACCTGCAAATTTCTTTACTAAAATAGAGCTTTGTTGCAGAGAAGAAAATGCTTTTAGTAATGCTATCAGCTGGGGAGGAGGGAGATGATGAAGCGTTCCCCTTGTTCAAACAGCAACCTCACACCATCTACTTTCAAAGATGCTGTGAAGAAATTCAACAGCCACATGCATCCAAATCATGAGTGAAACCAACACTAGGTTTTGCATTTAACCTTGAAGAGTAATAGATATTTGAAGCTACTGGTTAGCGTGAGAGACATTCCTGTAAAGAATAAAGTTACTGTGTCATCGTATGGATCACATTCCCTCTTATTCAATGCGTTTTACTGAGCTCTCAACATATACTCCACTGCATCTTTCTTTGGACAGATTTTAATAAACAATACATTTGCTTGAAAAACTAACATTTTATTGTTCTTTTTTATTTACCTTGTGGTTTATTTGAAAAATTGTATCGTCTGTGAAAGAGTAGCTAGTGAACTTCACTATAAAAACCCTTATTTTGGAGCATAGAGGTGGTAAAAGATCTCTGTGTGTGTGTGTGTTTAGCCCTTTAGTGGAATCTACTTGAACCATTTTGAAGTAGGAATGTACCACTGCGTCTGCTGTGATGTTCCACTCTTTAGGTAAATAATAAAAAAAAGTATTTAAATTAGAATCTAACATAAGATAAAGAACAAACATACATTTCCGGTATTTTTGCTCCCTGTTTTTGTAGTTCAGAAGCCAAGTATGATTCAGGGACAGGCTGGCCTGCATTCAAAGAGGCTCATGGTACATGGGAGCGAGACGAGAGCCATGCCTCCATGGTTCGTCGCCCTGACAACAGCCTGGGCAGCGCTGGGACAGAGATCCTCTGTAAAAATGTGAGTTGTTTTCCAAGCTAACCTCATCATTGTATGCCGTTGAAAACATCTTGCTCAATGCTTATTTGTCACACAGTGCGACGCACACCTCGGCCATGTGTTTGAGGACGGACCAGACCCAACGGGACAACGCTTCTGCATAAACAGCGCAGCCCTAAATTTCAAACCCAGAGAAAATGGTGTATCCGACATGGAAGAGCCGAAATGATGGTTATGATTGCAGCATTTCTTCCAAAAAAATGGGCTGCCTTATACACTGGAGGTGAATTGGATGATAAGAGTAAAGAAATCTCCAAGAGCCACCCTCTTAATAAAAAAAAATATATATATAGTATGTCAGTTTAAGTCGTTGCAAATATGTTTTTACTGTTTGTCAAGTGAATTTTGTTTATTTTAAACTAATCTGATGAAAATTACTGTTTTGTCTACATTGTACATAATTATATTGTGTTACCATTAAAAGGTTTCTCACACATATTTTGATATTGGTCATTTTCCCCCTAAAATCGGTTCTTAAAAGTTACTGCTGCCCCCTGTTTCACAAAAAAAACCCTCCACAATACTCAAACCTCATCTCTACCAGTTAATGATTAACTAGGTGAACTATCCTGTTTTGCACAATGTCTCTAAAATTCCTGTGACCAAATCTTCTGAGAGCATGTTGGAGGTTGAGTAAAAACTGAAAAGGGATCCACAGCAGGCAACAGAAAGAGTCTGAACAAGAGATTCCAGGAGAAAGACCAGAAGAGGATTTTAAAATAAAGGATTGATAGATCAGTGATTTGACTAGAAGATAGCTTCTTATGGCTGTGATTGCTGGTTCCAGGATTACTGAAGGCTGTCGTTGCATGATGGTTCTAGTGGTTCTGGTGTGCCTTTGTCTCCTTGTTCCCTCTGAGGCTGTAGGAGGGGCCAAGAGTCGACCGAAACCTCAAAGACGCCCTCCAAAGACACCAAAGGTCAACCCCACTGATGCAACCCCACCTGCTCAAAATATAGACATCCATCAGGTAAGACAGGAATAAATGCAGACTACAAACTAAACGTAGTCTACACGAGCTAACAAACTGTGGAGACCTTAGAAAAATGAAATAAGCAGATTTCTTCCCAAATTTTTGCTGAAATAAGTAGATAGTTTTGCAATAAAAAAAAAAAATAGATTAGTAATGTAAAACATGTACATCTACCCAAGATAAAGGTTAAAAACAAGCTCTGAAATCCATTATCTGTGATCCTTTTTCATTTTGCAGAGTTCGGATTCAAAATGGATCTTACCTACAGATCACAGCCAATTAAAATGCATTTATATAAGTATGTGCCACATTTCCCATCCATGAAATCAAATCATTTAGTAAACATACATTTTTAGTGTGTTTAATGCCCAGATTTGCATTAACAGAGCCCTAACATTATTGGCATCTGAGTTGAACTTTGTTTGATCACACAGCAAACAGTTCTGCATGTGGTTTGCTGACCTTTGCACACAGATAGTGGCTCTTATTTCACACTTGTTTTCAGTTGTTTTACAAAACAACGTCAAAAAAGGCTAGGCTTAGGAAAAGTGGGTCATGTAAAACAAGGCAATCGAACTCAGCAGGCTTTTTTTCTTATTTTTTTTCTTAAAAAAAGACAATCAGAGTACGATCTCTGACATAACTGTTCTCAAGGGTTACAGTATATTCGTTAAAATGGTAAAACCGCTTCAAAAATATTGAAACTTGGGCTCTTCTTCCTGAATACATTAATCTAGATAAATAATTTATTCTATTGGTTTCTTGTCATATATTTTAGCATAATAATTCTTCTGGGGCTTGTCACTCAAGGCTAGGTTGAGAAACAGAGTAAGTGGTGTGCTGATGCAATACAGGGAGTTTTTCTAAGGTAAATTGATCCTGGCAGAACATCACATTTTATACAATAGTGTTCCTTTCATTTCACATGTTATGATGGTGACAGACCTTACATTCTATAAGCATAAGATTGTAGAATTTGTAAAATAAGCAAGATTTCTGACTCTCTTTCAGTCACAACTATGGACTTTTACATTTAAATTAAATTTGCAACCCAGTTGTATAAGCATAGCTTCTGCTGCAAACACCTAGATTTATTTCATCTAGACTTTGAAAAGCTTCTTCTTTATTTACTCAAATCTACAAACATGAACAAAAATTTAATGAGCAGGTGGTCTCATAGTGAAGGAAAACTAACAAGGTGAAATAGGTTGAAGTAATATTTTATCACTATAGCTGGAAGTGTCTGGAGGACCGGCCCTTCAGCATCATATTGTTGTCATGTTTGTATGCATAACATATAGTAATACTGATGTTTTTAATTCTAACATGCATTTTGCATTAAATAAAATACAATAACTGGCATAACAAATCGGTGTATGCAGCTCCTCTTACTTCTCTTGATGCTGAGGTCATTTATTTGCATTGTGAATGGAGCCTTTTATTGTACCTGGCAACAGCAAAAAGAAACATGCTTGACAGAATGAACAACCATAGATTTTCCACAGCCTATACATTTTTTTTGCCATCATTGATATGAAAAGTTTCTCAATCCAGTGCCCATTTTATAACCAGCTTTCTAATTAGGGTGGGAAAATGTTGTCCTTCTCAGAGCTGTGCATCGATTCACTAGTTCCTTAACATAATAGCAACTATGAAGACAAAGATGGTCAAATTTTATAAAATAAATGCACCAACAAAAATGTTCTGAGAAAAAAAAAAAAAAAAAAACAGGCTTATGTTCGGGAAACGTGTCTGTTTCTTTTCTGTGTAACTTCACATTTCTGTTACAGATGACAGGAACATGGTATCTCCTTAATGCAGCCTCCAAGTGTCCCCACCTAATAAAACATGGAACCAAGGTGGAGCCGACTGTCATGACAATAACAGGTCCCTCTGACCAGGTTTTCTCAGTTAGTACTAAAACCAGACAGTAAGTATGGATGCAATTACTTCCAATCCATAAATGCATTTGTGAAAATAATGAAGTCATCTGAGTGTGCAAATATCTGAAAACGAAACTTGTTTGTGTGTCCTCAAAAACAAGGAAAGGGAGGAAGGAAGTTAAATCCAGCAGCTTTACTTTTTCATTTCATAAAGCTCAGGTCAAACTGACCCGGCTTTTTATCCTTTCATAAGCTGAAAAATGCACTTTTGGAAATGTCTTATTTTGATATCAGGGTCATAAATCCCTGTTTTCTTTCAAGCACATGAAAATACTTTTATGTAATATATTTCTCATAAAGGAATGCTAAAAAATAAATCACATAATCCATTCTCTCGTGTTCTCTTCTCAGTAATCATCAGTGCTGGGAGATATTGCAACAGTATCATCTGACTTCCACCACAGGGAAACTAACACTTAAAGGTCGGCTCTGCTCTTTGTCACGTTTCCACAACCCACTTTTACCCACTCTGATCTTTGTTGCTCCCACCAGGAACTCGTCCTGAACTCAACACTGACATCGTGGTTGGAGAAACAGACTACACCTCTTATGCAGTGTTGTACTATCAGAAACAGGGGAAGATCACAGTAAAACTCTACAGTAGGTTGAAAAGCTAGAGTTTCTGTATGTCTTGTTAATTTATGGTGATACAGTGCAGATAATTGCTTGTATGATGGCCTCCAGGTAGAACTGTGGACGATCTATCCGAGCCAATGTTAACTAAGTTTGAACAGCTTGCTGAAAAACACGGCATGGGCCTCGCCTACCTCTTCCCGTTCCCCACATACAGTAAACACGCACACAAACAAGCAAAAATGCAGCATATTTCAACCAAGGAAAAAAAAATAAACTGTTCTTAACTGTTTAACTTTTCATATTTCTTATATTTGATGAATCTTCCTTTTCAGGTCACTGTGGTGATGTGGACCAAGACCATAAACTAAGTGAGATCATTGTGCCTCAATAATATTTTACTCACAATGGGAATAAAGATTACTAAACACAAGCGATATTTGTCAATAACAATTGCAATTTTTAAAAGCCGCTGTGTAATGCAGGGGAAGTGTTATGAAAGGGTCATTTTAATTATGAAAAAGGAATAAAGTAATAAGCAAAATGTGGGTTAATCATTAAAAACTATATCTCTCCTGGAAAATGTTCAAAACGGAAAATTTAGTTTAATTTTAGAGAAGGCACTTTGGAGTGCCCCTCCTCCTTAGTCTTTCTAGCAATGCTAGACCTGTTACCAAAACATTGTAGAGTCTCACAGGACTTAACTTGTTCCTGTTACCTAATTTTAAATAATTAAATTACTTCAAGTCACAACACGAGAAACTAATGGAATGACCAGGAATTTTTTTTACCATCCTATAACAATTGCTTGTTTGATCAACCAGAATCCTTAATCAATACCAATTCTTTATCATTTTAGGTTTCATAGTAAATGCTTTAGGTCAGTGGTCCCCAGCCTTTTTTGTGCCACGAACCGGTTATATGTCAGACAATATTTTCACGGACCGGCCTTTAAAGTGTGGGGGGGTAAATACGATCAAGTAAAATGATACGACTGGCATAAAATCAAATACAAACAGCATGAAAATAAAACTCCCCATTATGTTGAATTAGTGGGAGCCCTGAGCTTGTTTCTCTGAAACAAGCCGGTCCCATCTAGGCGTAATAGGAGACAATGACACACGAAGTGTGCTCCTGATGTCCAGTCTGCTCCGTAGCTTTGTTTTGGTCGCTGTAACCACAGAAAATCCCCTTCGCAAAGATAGGATGTTATAGATAGTATGCGTCTTGACCTGAATTAACCTGTGTCAAGAGGCACAGATGCACCGACTGTTGTAATCGGGAGAGAATACCCCAATTTTTTTTATATTTTTCAAAATAAAACATCACTCAGACTCTGATCGTCGAAAAATTATACATATATATTTATACTTTTTTTCTATGCGGCCCGGTACCAAATGACCGACGAACCTCTGCTTTAGGTAACCGATGGATTAAGAAAGCTAAACCAACTAGTGCGTAATTCTCTAGTGGGTGATTCTATAGGATATTAAAAAAAAGCTTTCATCTTGTCCCGGATTAAACTGTTATTTAACAGACTTTATTAGTGTAAAGTTATTTCTTTTTCTTTTAGTCCTTCTGTATCTATCACATGTACACAATCACAGATTTGGTTAAAATCTTTAGGTCGGTCAGGCTGCTTCTGCAGGATGCACATGTGCTCCACTAAACTTATGAAATCAAATCAGTCAACAAGTTATCCAACATGCCGTTTCTGCTGAGGATGTCGACCTACCTCCTGCGTAATCTTATGCGTCGCTTCTTGTTTTTCAGACTGTGTCCCCACGTGCTGAAGTCACGGAGCTCAGTCCCCCACTCAAGACTTGAAGACCCTTTGAACCATTAATCACAAATAAACACAAAATTGAATGAATTTCATTGTTTCTATGATATTGTCATTATATCTGATTGTGTTGCAATCATTCTTTGATTTGTTATACTTATCAACCTTTAGGGTGCGTGACTTTATGCTTGCTCCTGCGTGCGAGTGAAGACTTAGAACAGGGAGCTGGAGACAATAAGACCCAGGTTTGAATCCCCAGAAGGGATCTATGGGTTTGTTACAAATTTGTGTTCAGAAATTTTCCTTAGCCCAACTCCTGCATGTGTTGGGGTGTGTGTGTGTGAGAGTTACATAACAGGCTGATTGCAAGTCTTTGCCTGCAGAGTCTCCTTACAAAGGGGGCTCTGATTCAGCACATTTCAGCAATTGATGCACTTACAGCTAATCTGCATTTCATGTATAACACTGTGCATACAGGACAGCCACGGTTTATCCTGATTGCTCTTTACATGAGCTTTTAGCCAAGGCAGCATTTGACCTGGAGTGACATTTTAAATCAATTAAAGTAAGATTAATGATTGCAAATATATCAGACTATTATGCAACACTTAGAGGTTTATATGTTTATGTACAAGGCAAAACGGTGAAGTCTTAATAGTAAAACTTTTAATTGGAATTCTGAGAACAAAACATTTGCTACTCTGATGCCTTGTTTTTTGGCTTTCCTGCTCTTACCAAACGTTTGCCATGATAGGTCAGTTTTCCTGGGGTATCACTGAAAAACAGTACTTGCCTCACCCCTCCTCCGCCCACGTGCCTGTTGTGTAACAGTTGTAATTTACATTCTTTGGAGAAGATCCAGATAGGGTTCTTTTTTTTTTTCTTTTTGGAATGGGGAGAGGGGAGGGGACAGGATGGGAAGGAGGATGCTGCAGGAGGGTATAAGAAGACTCACCGGGCTGTGGCTCACCACATTCTCCCTGACGCCTCAGATCCCTGCCTGCAAGAGAATCTCTGAGCCAGCGAAACCATGAGGACCACAGTGCTAAGAATGCTGACCGCTCTCACCTGCGCCTTGGCTGCATGTGCAGACATAATGCCTGTACCCGACTTTAGCCTGGAAAGGGTAAGGGGAGTCTACTCTTAATTTAAGGTTTTGGGTGGTTGCAAACATGCAGAAGAGAATGAAAAAGAAATGTTTCCTCTCATAGGGCAGAAGAAGAAAATGATTTCATCCATTGTGCATTTATGAATACTTTCAGAATTCTAATTTAAAGAAAATATTCATCATGTCTTTCTGCTTTTGCTTTAGATTGGAGGAAAATGGTACATGGCTGGCTTTGCAACCAATGCTCAGTGGTTTGTGACTAAAAAGGACACAATGAAGATGGGTACAGCCATGCTGGTGCCAACTGAAGGAGGAGATTTGGATCTGACTTATGCCACCCTGAAGTATGTGAATAATGTATTAATTATGCAATGATGACAAAGTCTTGATCCCTCTGGACTTGGAGCAAAAGTATTGTTGTGTGCGCAGTGCTGATGGTTCCTGTTGGAGAATGACTCACCTGGCAAAGAAAACCGACACACCTGGACGCTTCACCTTCCACAGCCAGGGTGAGTGGGGGGCACACGGACACACAGCGCCTAATCATCGCACTCATCCTAAGTTTTAATATGTTTTTCTCCTTTCAGCCTGGAACAACGACAATGACATGCGCTTTGTTGATGTTGTGTATGACGACTATGCCGTGGTCCACACTATCAAGACAAAGGAAGGTGTGTCAGAGGTTCTCAACAAGCTCTACAGTAAGTTTTACTCACCAGGAAGGGTCAGGCCTGTTAAAAAGACATAACTATGAATTCCTTTGAGACAAAACATAATTGCTATTTCACCTGTAGCCCGCAGTAGTGACGTCAACGCTGACCTGCAGCAGAAATTCACGCAGTTCTCTAAGGACACAGGCATCCTTGATGAAAACATAGTTATGCTGCCAAAGAACGGTAGGTTACTCATCACCATACAAACAAAGAAACTGAATCCATGAGTGCTTTTACATTCTTTTGTTTACTGGTGTCTTTTTGTTTTTATCACAGCTGAGTGTCCTGAGGCGTAAAGAATCCTTTGCTCTGATTCTTCTCGTCTCTAAAGTCCAGGGATTTTCATCTTAAAGGCATCTCCTCCACCCCTTAATTGTGTAGCTCATTTTGTCACAAAGCTGCACCTCAGACTATGAATGTAGAGCTTTTAACTCTTTTAACTCCACGCTGCAAACCAAAGAGGAGCTGATCCTTTCTCATTTGGTAATATTTTGTATTGTGCATCAGTAGTAACACCACAGTGGAACAATAAAATGTTGACAGTTGCTAAAAGATGTGAAATCTACACCATTGGAAGAGTTATTAGTTTTTTTCTTTCATTTTTATTTTTAAATGTGCTTGAAGCCAATAAAAGATATTCAACCAACTTTCAAAGAGTTTTTTTTTTTGTCTAAATAGGAAAAGAAGCTGATCTGAAAAGGTGAGGAAGTCAGTGTGGTCCCATGCTGGCACTTTGGTTTGATAGTAAAATAAAAATTGTTTGCAGACATTACCTTTGGACTCTTTGGGAAACTATGATGCAGATGAATTAAGTTATAAAATATAGAAAAGAAAGTAGAGGCGAAATCTGTTGGGCAATAAAGCAGATGTTTATATCTTTTGAGCACTTGGATTTATATATAAATCAGTTTTTACATATATAATTTTGATTATATAGCTATATATAATTTGGATATTAAAAAAAGTACAGTTGATCCTACATACTTTCAGGAGTGACCTTCCTGATATAAGAGTTTTTTGTCATGAAACTAAGAGTCTGCCTGATTATATGAAGCCCTGATCAGGACTTTAGCTTAAACACTTTGCACAACTTATAAGTTAGCCTTAATTATTTAAACGTAATTATCATGTTACAAAAGTCTGTACAGTTTTCCAATGCACAACTAGCACATTTATCTGTTTTTCCTGTCAGTATTCAATTTCAGCAAATGGGGAATAGGTAATTGCAAAGCCTACTTATAACACAAGCCGACTTTGCTTAAGGTTCATGTCCCCAGTTAATTTGTTAAAAGATACACAATGCTGCCTCTTAAGTGTTTTTCTAAATGTTGTGTTCCTCCTTTAGATGATTAACAAACACCCATTTGATACCATAAAACTAAGCTCTGCAAAAATTTATATTGTTTTCATTAACTTGAAATAATTTATATTGTGGCTTCAATTTATTTTCTTAAAAAGTAAAAAATTACAACCTCAGGTTGCAAAAATAACGAAATAAATTAATTGTTTTTTATTGTATCATGTGCTTGTAGTTATAAAACGTGCCCAAAAGGAGGCAGCCAAGGATTTTTGAGAAAAATACCTACCTATTGCACAACTTCTAAACTGAAAACTCAAAAGAACACCCGACTCATGTCTTTAAGAAATGTAATGTGTTAGTTGCGTAATAACCTAAGCATTGGTTAACATTTGCTTTCGCGGTTTAGATAAAAAACTGTTCTCTTAATGTGCAGCTGTGCACATTTCTTGCCGACTGACAGAAACATCTGGTCCCTTCTGTTCTGTCTTTTTATCTCTGGAAATCCTATGATATTTACAGATACCACCCAGATATTTCTGTTAGATTACTTGAACAATTGCACCTGGGATATTTGGTAAGAATCGTAGGACAAGACACATGTCTTCCTTGCAGTACTATAGTCCCAAACACACAGCCAAGGAAACTCCTAATTGGTATCAGAGACTTAACTGCTGGATAAAAAAATAAATAAATAAATATATATAAATAAATAAATAAATAATAATAATAACAATAATAATAACAATAATAATAATAACCTCCAGTTAAAAGTCAATGAAAAGAGCCATAAAAAATCCTGGTGCACAGAAAGGTTCCAAAGATTGTTATGGTTTAAATAGAGTTCTGGGGGAAATTGGTTGAACCTCTACCTAATCAATGTGACTTAATTTTGAAATGTTGAAAAGTGTCTTAAATTTATTTACTGGCATTAAATACTAATTGTCTGTTATTTTTTTATTTTACACATCATGTAATCTGCCGACTTATTTACTAAGATTTTATTGGTGGATTGATGTTGCCATCTAGTGTGAATTATGTGTCAAAGCAGCAAAAAAAAAAAAAAAAAAAAAATATATATATATATATATATATGTATATATATATATATATATATATGTATATATATATATGTATATATATATATATATATATATATATATGTATATATATATATATATATATATGTATATATATATATATATATATGTATATGTATATATATATATATGTATATATATATATATATATATGTATATGTATATATATATATATATATATATGTATATATATATATATATATATATGTATATATATATATATATATATATATATATATATATATATATATATATATATATATATATATATATATATATATATATATATATATATATATATATATATATATATATATATATATATATATATATATAAATAAACATAAACATCACAGTTAGGTTAATTGGTTTCTCTAGATTCTCCTGTCACACTTATCCCCGCTGAGGATAAGTGTGACAGAAAATGGATGGATGGACCATACTTGTTTTTAAATAGTTCGACCTTTTTTAAATATGATATCTTTGGTAGCTAACTCGATCATGCTCAGAGACCACAACCGATAAAAACCCAATACTTTCTGGTGTCTAAAAATGTCAGAGCTTGTGACATGTGACAGAAATCAGCTGTGCGATCAAAGGATCACTAGTGGTTTATCAGAATCAGCCTTAACAGGTGTACACATCAATTTCAAATGCATTCTGTAGTCAATGAATGTATGCGTTCATAAATATATAGTTTTTTTAGTCTCTTGTTTTTACCTAAAGTATTGCTTTAGTGCAGAATAAACCATTTTTAATAAATTGTTCCTTTTTTATTCAGCTTCTACTTTTTGGGTTAGATTTACTTTACTCCCCTTTAAAACATGAGATGTAAGCCTTGCATTCCCCATCATAACATGTTATCATTCTCTAGCAAACTTAGAATCTGACTATGAGTTTGATTTATTAAATTTTTTATAATTGTTCAACAAGGCTCAGAACTGTGGTCTCTCAACTTGGGATAACACATATGGAAGTGAATGATGATGTGATCAAAGCTTTAAATATACATTGATGCATTGGAAAAAAAAAAAGATTTTATTGATCAAACACTTTTTATTGGACTCAGTGGAACTGAAAACTGAACATGTGCATCATTGTTTAGTCTGTCAGTACTGATAGAGGTTGATGTCATGTTTAAACCACAATAAGAGGGCATACGTGCATGTTTATTTGGACTCTGAGTAATATAATCAGAAAAAGAAAAAACACAGATAATAACAATATGTGACAAGGACGTGATGTTGGATCAGAGAAAGTTTGCTTTGAGGCCTTAGAAGAAGGCGAGCTGAGCTCTGCAGCTGCCAATATGTCTCTGATAAAGTGATCCGTGGTTATCGCACAACCCTGAGGCAATGGTTCGAAATCATGTGTGTGAGTGGGAGCTCCTTAACCAAACAGACATAGACAATAATGAAAACATTAAATAATAATTAAAAAAAAAACACTGTTGGCAGCAGGTTTCAATTGGAACACAAAGAACAAGTAAACATCACTGACAGAAATAGTTAAAAAACAAGACCATTTTTGCAGTTGGTGTATGTCTCAAAGGGCAGTTATGGTCATTTTTGGGCAACTCATCCATACATTTGCTCCTTCTGAACAGCTACCATAAATAAACCATAACGGTAACCACTTTGTGGGAAAGGTTGCATTTATACGTCATGTGATGCATACCAGTAACGCATTAAATTCAGTTTGGAAAGAGATGGCACATTTAGAACAGCCATCAAAGGACATTAGCCTTTCTGGGAAAGCAAATTGTTAAGCTTTTACCCCTCTCACATCATGGCTTAACAAAAATGAAGGGCCTGAACTACTAAGAATGGGCTGATTTACCACAAGAGGATGCAGCAGAATGCAATTACAATGGACAATATGGCTCTTTGTCCAGGGGGGCACTGTGTCGGGGGTCAGCACAACTACAAACAAATAACCGATAAACCGCAGTCAAGCCAGTTTTTTGACAGTCAATCCAGTGAGTAAAATGGGAGCAGGTACGGCCATGTTCTATTTATAGTGTTAGCTTCGTTTGTAAATACAGCTGTATACCACAGCTGGCTTATGAAGCTAAAGTTTAGCTCTAAATAATAAAATGGTCTATTTAATTTTGTTTTTTTTAGTTTGTGTTTTTTAGGAGATTAATGAAATCGCTATTTTTTGGGGGGAAATACCAAACAGTATATATTTTTTCTAAATCATGAAAACCACCTTAGATGGAGATCAGCATGAACTCAGCTATTCTACAATAATCATACTACCCCAGTCGGCCTCAGCAGATGGCCGCTCACAATGAGCCTGGTTCTGCTCGAGGTTTCTTCCTCTTAAAAGGGAATTTTCCTCTCCACTGTTGCTACAAACATGTTTGGTTAGAGGGATTGCCTTCGAGTCAATGAGTCGATGCAATCAACTGGTTTTCCTTTGATGGAAAACTTTGAATCAATTTGTGCCGTGAGATGACACATGTTGTGAATTGGCGCAATATAAATAAACTGAATTGAATTGAATCTTGGCTCTATAATATATTTTTTTTAATGCTAAAATCATAAAATCTGTTCAGATTCTAATAAAGGTCACAGATCTGGACTGCATCCTGGTCAGAGAGAATGTCGCCAAGAGGTGACCGTAATTGTACCGCCACATTAACTACACTCATCACTTCACAAACTGCTTTATTTACCAACCAACGCTCCATTTGGGTGCTTCACTTTGTCGCTGAAATATTTTATGACGCAAGAAAAACTGGTATGATCATTTCTGTTGCCAGGATTTGTTGGAAACTGAAGAGCACCATTTTACATAGGAAGCAAAAGCTAAACCTGATTAGATTTCATGCAGCATCAGTCAAGTTTCTGTTACGGGTTTAAGCGAAGTAACGGGGGGAAGGCGATATGGCTCGACACCTTGAAGGCACAGCAGACTCATTAGCCAATTATCATCCTAACCTCATCCCAGGTGTTGCTCAGGTGTTCCTTTTTCATGCTGCTTCAGGTTTTCTTAATGCAAAACCTTGTAAAGAAAAACTGCCTCCTCTGGCACTTGTTTAGCAACTGACCTACACACACTGATACATGCGTACATCATAGACGGTTCATTTAACACAAAGAAAAAAATTAAACATTCAAAACCAAATAATATTCGCAAACTTTGGAAATAAGACTGAAGTGTTTGGCAAAGAAAACAAACGGATCACTTATGCCTGAATGAGTAAAGGCTCTTGGATTCCTTCATAAACACAAAGAAAGCTGCCATAATGATGAGCTAAAACCAACCGTGGAGCGTCATTATGTTCAGAGAAACCCGTCTCTGCGCCGCCACAGACAGGAACATCTCATACAATCGAATGTCATGAGACCTAAACATAAAACTCTGTAATTTACACATATATAATATCATGGACAAATATCACTGTAATATAGATATAGCCATTTCTTATTGGCATTCGGACTCTAAATAAATCTTTTTTTTGGAAAACTGACACAAAATATATTTACAAAGAGACTTTTGGCATCCATGATAAACTCTATGTGAACACATTACAGGGTGTGCTCCACTGGACGAATGTGACTGTTGACAGAATGGTGCGTCTACAGCATGAAAAACAACCAATAAAAAAAGAAGAAAATGTTTGGCATGTCGATTTGATCATTTCTTATATAAGATTTCTGTTTAAATATAAAATCAAAACCAAACGAGAACTGGCAATAAATCTTTGCTATTACACCACCCAGTAAGTGTAATTATTTGTCACACACAGTATTCAAAAGACTCCTGAAAACTCCCAAGCACAATACAAAGAAGGATAATCTGGTTAGTATATACATGTACAGTCTTTTACAGCTGTGCTCCTCAGGATCAGTGTCTTTTCTTTTTCTAATACTCTGGATATAAAAAAGGAACAGAAATATCTCACATCGCTCATCTTCTCAGGGAGTTTGTTGTCCTTTTGAACAGTCACTCCTCTTTATCGCCAGTGATCGGTCGTATGATTAGACTTCATCTGTGAACGATGGTCTCGCATTTTCCTGCTTTCTCTGAGTTCCATCATCCGCCTGTTAAATGAACCACTCCTTCTTTGATTCGTCAATAGTTTCTGGGTTGTCGGTGCCGATGATGGCCGTGTCAGCTGACTCTGTGGCTGACTCGCCGCTGCCCTTTGCCTCGTTGGTGTGGTAGGTGCCCTTGTGACGGAACATGTACCGGATCAGGAACACCAGAGTGCACAGGATGGTGAAGATCACCACGGCGATGATGCCTGCAGAAGAGACCAATATGTTTAATTTATGTAGTTATTAATCCTTTGTGCTTTATCAACTCAAATCTTCTTCCTTTACATGTCCAGCACCAGAATGATTTAGAGGAACATTTAAGAGGCATTACAGAGATTGCTAATGACACTGCCACCTGTTGCCAAAACACCAAACTGCAGTACTATTCTGCTTGTTTTTGTAGGCCACACTCTTACTTAACAAGTTTTTTTTTTTTTACATTTTTCTCCCTACGTGGAGTCGCCATTGGTGTCCAAGTTAAGCTGAATTAAGGAGTACATAGTTGTATGCTTATACAATTGAGGAACAATCCTATTTTGTCCAGATCATCCAGATTTCTGGGTCACCTCTGACTCTTTACTTTGGCTCAGCACACAGTGTTTCTATAGGATCAGATCTAAGGGCTGCTGTGTTAATTTGCCCAACTGTCTTAGGTTATTATCACTTTAAAAGCGGTTGCCATAAAGAGCTCTGTCTGAAAGGTACTGGCTGAAAGGACGGTGTGTGATGCTCCCAGTCATCACTAGGAGCTCAACTGTTGCCCACAATAGTTTGCACAGTTGTGCAAAGATGTACATACATACCTCACTAAGTTTGATAAATTACATTATTTTTTTTAGGTGTACTCTGTGTGACACATACTTCATATGTTGTGGGTTTGTAATGGAGATTTTAAGCTGTTCTCCACATTTGTGTAATGTCAGTAATTGCACTTGTTTTGTGAAAGGCTGTAGTCCCAATGTGACCAGCGTCTTTATGTGCCTGCTTATCGGATTTTTTCAATGAGTTTGTACACCTGGTTAGACTATGAAAGCGTATATATTTCAGCGCTGTAGTAAGTAATCATGCTGCACCTCCAATGATAGCGGAGTCCCTGTTAACTCCATCTGGAATGACTCGCTCCTCATTGGAGGGTGGCTCCGCATCTGTAAGGAGGAGGAAAGAGGGACAGATCAATTAGAAAATATTTATTAGCTTTTCTGTTAGAAAGAGTTTCTATTTATTTATTTCATTTTGGTCCCCTGACAATCAACACTTACGTTTCTTTATATTCTTTAAACACATCATAGCAATGGCATCATCAACATGTTAATAGCAAATTGAACATCTATATATATATATATATATATATATATATATATATATATATATATATATATATAGCAAAAGTTTATAAGTAAGTTAAAGGAATAGTGGAGGATTTTCACCTATTTTTGAAAAGACCCGCCCTCTCCACTTCAGAAAAAATCCACATGCCTGTTAAACTTGTGTGAGAGCATGCATGTGTTTTCTGCCTCTTAGATCATCTTTTTTTTTGTGCAGTAAAAAAAGGCTTGATGACCCTTGAATGACTAGAAAGTCATATTCCACATTCACTAAAGCTGAAAATGAGACTTTTTGTTATAAAAAATATATTAAATAAAAGGATATCTACAGTAGTAGTTTTTGTGCCGACTTTTTCAAATAAATGCCAAATAAAACACATTCAAGCTGGAATTTGTAAATAAGCAAAATGGCTCAAAATCTCAAAGAAGAATGAATGTTTTAAAAAACATTAGAGTGATTTCTTTCTGACAATAGTCTAATTATCTAAAGCCTTCATACTTCTTTGACTCACATTTAATCCAGAAATTATTCCAGATTGATTAGAAGGGTTCAATTCTACATATTACATTACTAAATGCAGAACTTTGTTTCAAAATGTATCCATTATGGCATTGGACTTATAACAAAAAAGAATGTCTTGTTACTTTTTTCCTATATTTTAAGCAATGATACAAGATATCAGGAATACATCAGAGGTTTGAAGGTATAATATAAAAGCTTTTCATTTGGGCTGAAACATTTCATCAGATTAATCATGACTGATCAATTATTGAAATAATTGTCAACTAATTTATTAATCGATTAATTGAGATATTAATAGAGAAACTGTAAAACATGCTGTTAGCTGACAGAGAAACCCACTTAGAGCAGTAATTATATAAAAATGTAAAAAATATATAAACATTTTGCATTTAGGATAAAAAAAAAAGGTCAATATGCTCAATCCAGGAAAAGATCACCTAGTTTCATTTTGTAAAAAATTGGAGGCACCCACGTGTGTTGTCCAGAGGCCAGGGGTTTGGTGCAGCAGACATTGGTGGGACGGTGAGAGGCGAAGCCCCACAGCTGGATTGTACAAGTTTGCCCTGGTAGGATACAGGAGAGGCCGATGCAGGGTAACTGTCAGCCTGAGCTTCTTCAGCTTTCCTCAGTGCAGACTTGAGTGGAGCAACTCCGTTGAATTGCACCCTAGACAGGCAGCCTATAAAACCTGGGCTGTTGTATCGCTCGATAAGGACGGGGTCTACAGGTCCAGTTTCTGTGTAGAGATGAACAGAATGGAAAAGATCTTGTTACATTACTTTGTTTGCTGTTGTTCAAACTGTTAGCTCACGTGTTACTGGAAACATGCATATTGATTATATAAACAGAAATGGAGGACAGAAAACAAAAACCTTCCTCCATTCTCCCAAATGACTAGTAAACAGTGGGCAATGCTTACACAATTGCTCCTACATAAATGACATCATATAGCAGCTCAGCAGGTTGTTATAATGTATGCAGGCAGTAAATCATCGGTTGGGTAGAATAGCCAAGAAATTATTCAAGTAACAGTGAAAAGTATTTGGCAAAATAGGATACTTGTTATAACATCTAATATTTTAAGTTATGCAATGAAGATTTACCAAAAGGTAAGGTTATTTTTAGATTCTGGTATTCTAAAGACCATAATAAAATAAAACAAAGAAATATAATTAAACCAAAATCCAGGGTGAAGAAGCACTTTTCAAAACCAATTTTCTTTTTAACCAAAATCTTAGGTAGGGTAGGTTTGTAAGAATTATTGATACTCCAAAAAGTATTGATACACAAACACTTTGTCATGATACAATACTGTGTTTTTCTCATAAATGCACCAGGGAGCGTTATCACAGATCCTTCCTCCCAGGAGCTTTAAGACTTTATAACCAACACTGTTTCCAACAACCTCAATAAGTTTCTACATTCATGCTGATTTTTGCACAGTTTCTATCCTAGTCATGTAATGTAATGTAATCTAAATCCCTTTATTGTCTTGCAATGGGGAAATTCATTCTCCGCATTTTGACCGATCCACTTGGAGAACAGTGGGCAGCCATTGTGTGGTGCCTCGGGAGCAATCAGGGCTTAAGGGTCTTGCTCAGGAACCCAGAGGGGAGGCTGTGGGGATTGAAATGGGTACTTGCAAACAATCCCCCTGTCATTTCAGTCACTTAAATAACAAGCTGCTGTCATTTTGCACCTCTCTGGGGTTGCTGCTATTTTCACATATCTATTACTGTAAAAATGTCCACAGCTGTATATTATTTCTTTTCCAAATGCACAGTATTTATATTCACAACTATAGTAAAAACACAGTGCAGTATTTTATTTTAAGGTCCACATTTGTGAGACCACTTTTACTATGATCTTTTGCTGCTGTAACACCACAATATCCCCATTGTGGTACAATAAAGGGATTTTCTATTCTATTCTATTTTATATTTTTGCTATTGGTCATTTCAACTTTTTAGAATTTATTATTTATTTGTAAAGTACAGTTCTATGTCAAGACTGAAAAAAGTGAGTTTTTCCACTTTTTGTCTGGAGCACTTCAAAAAACAAAACAGGTTTTTTCTAGTTACTACCCACCTGTAGAAATCACACAAGTTTTAGAGCCCATCGAAAATCTTCACTATACATTTGCATTGATCAAAGGAGGAGAGAAGCCTAAATGATTTCCAGAATTCAAACCTTTCAGAGAGATATTGATGAACACACCTGGAGGTTTGGTTATCAGCATGTTAAAAAGCCAGTTCTGCAATTCTGACTAAATAGGAAGCATTTTGACTTGGGTTTGTTCTATTTTATCTAAGGAATGCTTAATCCTTGCAGGATGAAAAATACTGTCCTCTGCAAAAATCTGGAATACAGTTACACAGACACATACACAAAAATACAGAACTTAAAGACATTCTGACGTGAAATGAAAGCTGCTCTAACACACCTCTGTAGAGACACAGTTCAAACCTGCTGCTTCCAAAACAACTGCATGTGCCCAAAGCAACATAACAAACATTTAATTCAGTGCTGAGTGAAGATTAAATTTTTATATAAAACTGTTTATCTCTTGCTGCTGCATGACCTCAGACACACCCAGACGGAAATGTTTAGGACAATCAGCCAGAAGGACATGAGCTCAGGATGACTAACAGCAGTCCTCCATGTGCAGCTGTGCAAACATGTTCATCTTTAATGAATCTTGTTATGCTGGATGATGGGATTCAGAGTGTATGGACTTGGTTTATAATATAATTCTAACTCTTTATTTCATTTGGATGAGCCCAACACAAGCTTGTGTGTGCACCACTGATTGTGTTGCTAAACACAGAGCCATTTTGTATACCTTTTATTATTATCCTAATCTACAAACTGCACAATACATACATTTTCAAACTTGCAATTTTTTCTGCATCACGTTTACATAATTAATGTGTTCTGCAAGGTTGGACACAAATCCCAGTAAGTAACTTTTAAGAGAAGCACATAGTTTGTTGCTTTAGCATGAAAAATTATGGAAATAGTGAAGATTTATCAATGATTTGTAAATTTGCACATAAATGTAGTTTCATGATGGGGACAGATGCAAACACAAGAGATGAGCAGCAGGTGGCTAATAGCATGATAGTGGAAAGATTTACTGATATCACCATAGTTGTGTTTTCACAATAATATGTTTCCCATCTGTACGCCTTAACAGGTGCTGATCACTGCAGAGACCTGTCTGTAAATATCAATATGTTCTCTGCTGGGATTACAACAGCCTGCTTTGTACACAATGTCATTTTCAATTCACACAGAAAAACAACTGGCAGGCAGGGCTTCAGAAGCAAACAAAGGAGGCTTCAGAATTTGGTGACGCCATATAGAGGGAGAAACAGAAAATTAACTCAAAAAGGAGAGACTAACATTTGGAAAACCTTACTTTTAATAACTTGGACTTGCAAAAAGGCTCAAGTATAGATGCAGTATATGCAGGAAAGGTAAAATAGATAGAAACATATATTCTCAATAATCCAAGATGTAAAAACAACACTTTAGAAAAGAAATACCATATTTTCTGGTATATAAGCTGTTATTGTTTTTTCCCACGCTTTGAACCATGAAGGTGCGGCTTTTCTGTTTATTTTTCCTAACCACCAGGGGGTGAAAGTCAAAAGGGGGCTAACTTTATTTAGCACATGCAGATGTTAAGGTAGGGTGACCATATTTTCATTTGGGAAAACCAGGACACCTTGGGGTGGGGGGGGGGGGGGGGGGGGGGGGGGGGGGGGGGGGGGGGGGGGGTGATATTGAAAGAACAAATGTCTCATCATCGGGATTAGCTCCGTGATCAGAGGAAATGTTAGTTGGCGCAGAACAGTTGTGAAAATTTGAAGTTCAGTTTAATATAATAATACAACTCTGTGAATAGTTCCGTCTGAAATTAATGAAAATACTTGTTTTAATGGTTATAGAGTCAGATATGTGGCGGTAATGTTTGGTTTATCTAAAGGTTTTTATCTGTTACTGTGTAAATGAGTTTGGCTGTAATTTAAGGACAGATTCTAATAGATCTGCAAAGTGGGAACTATAAATCTGATAGGATTTTAATTTTTTTATTGTTGTTTTGCACAATATGCTTAACTAAGTATTTCTTGTTGTTAAATATTAGAGATTTTGCAGATATATTTTGTAGATACATTGTTTAGATTTACTTATATATTTCTAACCCTTTTATAGAATAGAATAGAAAATCTCTTTATTGTCCCACAATGGGCAAATTTACAGCAGCAAAAAGATTATTGCAAATGGTCACACAAATGAGGACCTTAGAAAAATGTATAAGAATAACATAATAGGGAAGAGTTAAAATATAAAAAATAAAGTTCTGTAAAGTGTTTTAACAGTATAAAACTGGAGAATAAATAACCAATATGCAGCTATGGACATTTTTACAGGAATGGATATTTGAAAATAGCAGCAACATCAGAGATGTGCAAAATGACAGCAGCAGGTTATTTAACTGACTAAGGTTTCTATCATTACATTTGATTTGATTTGATTTGTTCCTGCTCCCGATGGTTGGAACCTTTATTCCACTCTGGATTCTTGTGAGTGTAGTCTTTGTTCACTTTAACTTTTTAAAAAATAAATAAATAAACAGTTTTGAAAACCTCGGTATTCATTCTTTGCCTGCTTTGTGTGTCAACTTTCACGGTTGCTAAGCAACAGAGCATACGGCGGTAAAACCCGCCGAAGGGAGGACCTGTTCGAATTTACAGACAGAACTCTTCCGGCCTCCTTATTTTCAAGGACTTCGAAGGATCCAGTCTAGGTAGACCGCGTCCTTGGAGGATGCAGCCCAGGTTTTTGAACAGAGCCTCTGATTCAGAGCAGGGCTGCCCGCACTGGCGCAGCTCAGGGATTACGTCACACGGAGCGTTGTGTGCAGTGAAATCAGGACATTTCCTCACTTTCTAAAAAAAACCCGGGACGCCCGGGACAGGACGTGAAATACGGATATGTCCCGGGAAATACGGACGTTTGGTCACCCTAGTTAAGGGGAGGAAGGGAGGAGAAAAAATGTCCCAAATTTTACACATTTTCTCATTTATTTGTTGCATTAAAGAGACTTTGTGCAACTCCTGCATAACAGAAATAATGTAATTATGGTACTAAAATTACTTATTTCTATCCTTAACTCACTAAAGAATGCCAATACACATCTTTAAACTGCTTGTGTGACCTCATCATCTGACATTCTCAGAGCAGTCTGGCAAAATATGATTAAACCATGTTTATCTGCATTTTAGTTGTTTCTTTCTTTAGATTACGCACTATATACCATTAAGTTAACATGAAAGGAAAAAATAAAACTTTGATAAAAGTAGATTTATGTTTAAATCTAAAGCTGAAAAATTAAGCTCCGTGAAGTAGCACAGGATCCCATTTCCTGAGCCGATCGGGCACAGACGAGTGATAAAACAGAAAGTATTTCAAGGCATTTATTTTCTCAGGAAATACATTATTAACTTGTAACACATTATAGTTTAGCACACTTACTATTTTTGGGGAGGGAAAAACCTGCTTAAGTTTTTTTTTCACAAAATTAAGGGCAACCGGAAGTATATCTGGTTGCAGACTTGCAAATGATCTGATAGTACAGGTCTGGTAGTTACAGTGCCAAGCCAACAAGCTAACGGAAACTAGCATTCTTCTTCATCCCTTGTCTAGGGTGATATGATGTAGAGCTGCCTT